ATGGAAATAAAATGAAATAAAACAGAAATTTTACCGGAGGCATAGCAGACACGAGCGGACAACACACACACGCGCGCACACACATACGGTTGGTACATCGCACGAGTTTTGAGCGAGATTTTTAGGTGGAAATTAATGAAAAACAGAGAACATACACTGCGAGATCGCGGCCGGTTAATAGAAATTTCCGGATAACGGATGGCCGGATAAAGGAGGTCGGACTGTATATATATAATGACGTCCACCCATCTTTATATTTCTCAGTTGTGAAGCTGCATGTGATATAATTTAGGATTGGGAGAACATCATGAGAATAAGGTAATAACAAACAGCGATTGTGTTTTCAGAGACGGTTTCCGGACTTTGACTACATCACCAAGGATGGTACGCTAACCGAGCATTTAGACTGCGTCATAATAAGGTATAATTAGCGATGCACAGTCGAAATTGAACACCAAATTAACAAATGGGAGTCTTACAGTGATTAATCTGAAGATGAAAGTAGCACCCATTGCCCCCAAATTGCAATGTATCCCTTATCATTATTATTTTAATCAAAATCTGTTTAGTGGTAATGACGTTACTCTCTGTTTCAGTCACTTTCATCTTGACCATTGTGGTGCACTGCCCTACATGACAGAGATGAAGGGCTACGATGGCCCAATCTACATGACCCACCCTACCAAAGCCATATGTCCCATCCTACTGGTAAGTTCAACTTAGTAAGCTCACTATTTTCTTCTAGTATGTAATAGAAAACAGTGTATAACTAGTGTGTGTGTGCAAATAAAAAGGCAAAACTTTTGACTGCAGGAAGACTATCGGAAGATTTCTGTCGAAAGAAAAGGCGAGAAGAACTTCTTTACCTCACAGATGATCAAAGATTGCATGAAGAAAGTGATTGCAGTAAACCTGCACCAAACCCAACAGGTGAGTGTACGCATGTACGTACTACAGCTGATAGGGTCTATGTCCCCCAGGGTACTGCCAGAACGTACCCTGGGTACGGTCCGGTATACGGTAATAATACCGGAACGTACCCTGGTAACTATCTAGCTGATATGGTTAGGGTTAGGGTTAGCATTAGTGTTAGGGTTAGGGTTAGAGTTAGGGAGTAGGCGTAGGCGACTCCCTAGACTCGTTAGTGGAGTGGGCGAGGTAAGGTCCGGCATATTAGATAGTAGTATTTAGTACCAGGGTACGTTCCGGCAGTACCCTGGGGGACATAGACCCTATCAGCCGTACTTACTATTCGGGTACTTATAGAGTAGATGGACACCATGCTGCATTGTCACTACGAACAATAGCCTAATAACACATAACAATGAAAATACCATCGAGAACAACTCTAGATAGTAGTTCTAGATAAATCTTCATTGCATGTAATTCACATACACATACATGTACTAAAGACAGTCTTGTTCATGGAGAAAAAATCGGATAAATGCAAATCATGCAATAGTTTTGAGCAGTTAAAATGTTAATGTCTTCTCTATCGTGTAGTGAGATTGTACGTATGATGATATCAGGAGTAAGATAATATAGGATCCTATATTATCTTACTCCTGATGATATCTTGCTGTGAATAGAGAGATATACTTCTTTGTTATTCGGGAGACGGACGTGGCAATTAGCAATGCTCTCATGAAAACTCTCTTATTTGTTTGAACTCTCAGGTGGACAGTGAGCTAGAGATCAAGGCGTATTATGCTGGCCATGTGCTTGGAGCGGCAATGTTTCATATAAAGGTCGGACAAGAGTCGGTTGTCTATACGGTGAGTAGTCGTGTGGGGATCGTGTGGGGATGGTGAAGGGGGCCAGGACTGGATTTATCAATGAACTGTGGCACTGTTCGGCAAAATGCTCGGAAACGAGTTTGAAAACCTAGCCAGTCCCGATTTTTCGAAAATTTTGATTCCTAGTTTTTAACCAGTAGTAAAATCCTATGAAAAATTAGCGAGTCATGCGCTAAAGTTACTGGTCCTGGACGGGGGTGATAAGCCACTATTTTCAAAATTGCGTAATTGCAATGGTTCCTCCGAGTCCTCGGACGTCATTGTTCACATGTGAGAGCAAAAATGGACGTGCGAGTCGCTCTAGACAGTGCTTCTTTAAATGGTGAATGGTTCACCCAAGGCTGAATGAAATTATTTTGGGGTGAATGGAGAGTAAGACGAAAATTACCAAAAACACAAGGAAATTTTGTCGCGGGGGAACGAAATTTTGTGATAAAGACTCGAGAGTGAATGCTACTGAAATACGCTTAAGAAGCACTGCTCTAGATGTATGTTTATAGTCGTCTCTAGACGTCTTTAATGTCTCGCGCAGGGCGACTACAACATGACGCCGGACCGCCATCTTGGATCGGCGTGGATCGACAAGTGTCGACCGGACCTGCTCATCACAGAGTCGACGTACGCGACGACGATCCGCGATTCGAAGCGATGCCGCGAGCGCGACTTTCTCAAGAAGGTGCACACCTGCATCGAGAAAGGCGGAAAGGTACGTGGTCACGTCTGTCAGGGGTCTGCAGGCTGCAAGCCTTCAAGCGTGAGGAGCGGCTGTCAAATATCTCACGCTGTGCCGCAGCATGCGTGTGGATCAGTGGCTAAATAGTTAAAATGGTTATAGACATCGGACATGTATGAACTGCTCACTCGAGAGAACCCCCCCCCCGCCTCCCACAAGGGTGTCCTTTATATACAGGTGTCCTTTATAGACAGGTATAGAAGGAGATGGTGTACTGTATGACTGTCACTTGAGGGAAATTCCAAAACTGTCTTTTATAGACGGGCATTCGTTCTGTAGAGTGCAGGCGATTTTACTGTATGACTGCCACTTAAGGAAAACGAACGATAGTTGGCTTTTATAGATGGTCACCGGCGTTCATTCTATAGTGGTTATTATTCCGCTATTACAGGTTTGTCTGTGTATTTGCCATTAGCGAACTTGTGCTTTCGTCGGCAGACGTGCAGTAACTTGGTATGGCTGTGACTCTTCCGTCTAGTACAACGGGAACTAGTGTTTACCTGTGCAGGAAGCTAAGACTAAGAGTGTGTTTTTGTTGGGCAGGTACTCATTCCTGTGTTTGCACTCGGACGTGCCCAGGAGCTATGCATTCTAATGGAGACGTACTGGGACAGAATGAATCTCAAAGTTCCCATGTACTTTTCACTCGGACTAACCGAAAAGGTAACGGAGGGTGGGTTTTTCTTATGATTAAAACTTTTTAGTTGAATTGAAATTGCGATCAGTATGTTTTAAATCTTTGCAATCATTGTCGTATATATTCACTCTGTCGTTGTAGTGAGTGAAGTATTTTTTAGGCATTTTTGACGCCATTTTTCTTGAATCTACCCATTCAAGGCAAATCACTATTACAAGCTGTTCATCACTTGGACGAACCAGAAAATACGCAAGACGTTCGTGCAGCGAAATATGTTCATATTTAAGCACATAAAGGTACGTAGTATCAGCAGTCATACTAGCATTCGCTATATCATTATCAGGGATGCCTTACAGTTTTGCAAACAGAGAACCATTTACATATTGTCTGTACGGTTGATTTTGCCCTAATGATATTAAGGTAAATTAAAGGTGTAACGTTTATTTTGCTTTAATGATGTCTATATGGAATATACTACAGACGTATCTTAAGGGGTACAATTAAGTTCCATATGATAACCTTCCAACTATATAAATCTAATCGTTCTGAAGTAAAATGCAAAATGTTAAATGTGCA